ACTGTCGTAGTTATTTATTATGTTTATTTTATATTTCATTTGTAAATATATTATTAAAATAATTGCGCGGTAAATTAAAAATTTATAAACTATATAAAAAACTAACTAAAAAATAAGAAAAAAAAATTAATAAGAATCTTTCGATAGAAGACTTCCATTTTGTAGGGTAAAAACCTTCTCAGAATTCTTCAGTGCTTTTACCGATTTAGGAGTCTATGTTTTTGAAGAATGATGGGCCGACTTTACCAAATGTGGTGAGTGTGGTAGATATGATTGTTATGAAAACATAATCATAAGAAATCTGGATATTTTTTGACCACATGTTGTTTTTGTGGTCTAGGCCATTGAGAGCTTGGTTGGGGAGCTTATTAAATAAAAATAAGAAAACCCATAAAATTTATTATCAAAATATAATGAAATTCATAATTATTATAAATTATAAAATATTATATTAATTTTTCCTAAAGATGTTTTGTATCGAACTTAAATTAATGGAAATAAAAATAAAATTTTTTGTGAATTTTTTTAACTTATAATGTGTATAAAAAATTTTAAAAAGTAATAATTTTTTTAATTAGTAAGCAATAAACATAAAAATCAAATGCTTAATTTTTTTTATTATGATTAAAAAAAAATTATATTTGAGTCATTTCTAATGATTTTTTCAAAACTAATTAAAATTTTTATATAAGTTTTTTTAATTTGTATATATTAAATGCTATTAAATTGTATTTAAAAATATACAAAGATCTTCATCATAAATAAAAGTTTTTAATATAAAAAATGATAAAAATCTCGAGGGAAGGGATAATTCTAATTTCCCCCATGACAAATTTTGCCTAATCTAATTCTGTGGTTCAATGGAAAATCAAGGCCCACTTTAGAAGTGTATGAAATATCTATTATTTTATGTTAATAGTATAAAATGTGATATTCATAATAATCTAAAAAAATATTAGGGCAAAGGACTTGTTTAATTAAAAATTGAAATTAATTTTGTTTGGGGTTAAGATTCAAGCTTTTTTCACCCCTGTGTACTACTATTTTTCTTTTGAATCATGTATAGGGAAGGCAATTATTTATGTAGGAGGAAAAAAATTTTAAACCTGGATTTGATTCATAATTTTAAATTAGATAAATCAGCTGATCTTAAAATACTTCTTTTTTTTAGTAATATATGGCCAAATTCAAAAATTAAGGGTTTTGTTTAACGCCAAAAAATAATATTCTATTTTACCAATAACTTAATTGATAAATTCATCCTAAAATATATTTAAAATTTATAATTTAAAAAATATACATCATAATTTTCTATCCAATTTAAAATTAAGATAGTAGGGACCGGCACAACGGTAACCGGGGTAACAAAGCAATCAACGATAATTTATTTTAACCATGAACTAATAACTCAGATTTGGTTAGTAGGTGTAATTTTATAGATATTTTTTGCCATATATTTTACTAGATTTTGGAGCTCTCCAATCAAGAGATATTGACAAAAAACAGTTATTTCGCCTGGTTATGTATATTATAAATAGATAAAATAAATAGCTCAAAATTTTTACAAGAGAATCTTTATTGAATATACTACATATTAAAGTGATCCGAACTTCAGGTTTATCACTATATTTTGCCCCAAACATTTAGCCACATCTTCACTCCGGGTATGGGATCAATGTGAAATTTAGTCATCTCTCACGTATATTTTGAACTAGTTTCTAAATTATGAGAAAGTTTTTCAATTTATAGCTAGATGATGAGACTATCATAGTATCATAGTAGTTTCCATTTAAGTCCCAATGCTCAAATAAAAGAAATACTGATTAAATATGACTTCCTCTATATTATGTTACACATTAATTTAAAATAAGTGTCATAACTGAGACGCGTGATTCCGGACAAGGACACCCATAATCCAAAAATGTTTATATGACATATATAATGTATAAATCTGTAAAATTTATGGAATAATTATTTAGTCAAAAGATATTTATAATGATATACATTATATTATTTTTAAACTTTCCTCCTTATAATAATTTATTCTTTTATTGGGATTGCTCGTTCTAATCAGAATTCAAGCTTAAGGAGGAGAGATGTTTTTGAATATGTTAAAGATACAAATATTTCAACATTTTTGTTTATTCCAAAAATCTGGCTAATAAATTAAAAGTTACCATTCAAAGATCTGAGACTATTTTAAATAATTTATTAATCTCAGAATCATCTTTTGAATATTATATTTAAAAAATCCTAATTTATACCTTTCATAGATCCATCTACTGGTTTATAATTTGCTGGTCTCGCTAAAATAATTAAGATTTACATTTTTATTACCAAGATGTAGAGAAAAAAAATAGTTTTAATTAGTATAAAGAGATTAGTTTTGTTTTATGTTTCCGATATTATAAACTAAACTATAATGATCTAGATATCCAATTTTTACAATAACTTAAACTCTTTAGCTTTCAATTCGTCCTCAAAATCCTATTAAGAAGTTGAAAATCTTTGAACTTTTTGCCTTAGTAATAAAGGTTAAAATTTTTTAATGATATTAGCACCCTACCTATAACCACATATTTTTTTTTATCAATTTTTACCTAGTATATATTTTATTTATTTCTTAGATTTTTATATGCAACACACATTTTTATAAAGTCCATACCATTTTATACCCTCTAATTTATTGCTATATTTAAATATTTTTTAGCAATAAAATCACATTATTAATTTGTGAAATATAAATTATTTAGCATTTGAATTGCAATATCTTACTAGCAAAATCTCAGTTACACCACTGTTAGGAAAATAAAAAAATTTAATGAGGTTGTTGACAAGTTTATTTTAAATAAACTATAAATTATAAGCAATTAAGAGAAATATGCATACAAGAATTATAAGTAAAAATAAATGGTCGATCTCACTGCAAGATTTCCCAGTTAGAGGAGGGACAAGCAAAAACCTACTTTAAAGTGATATTATGATATAAAAAGAATTATAAATAATTACATTTTTATTATTAATTTTATAAAACAAAGAGAATATAAAATAGAACTTATTTTGTTATTAGCTTACGCGTTTTTAAGACATGATATAAAATAGAGGTCAACATTGGGCAGGTTTTCGGCTCGCCCGCCCAGACCCGCGTATCTAAGTAAGCGAGCGGGTGGGCGGATTAAAAAAATTTAAAAACGGCAGGCGGGCGGGTTAAAAAAAATTTTAAACCATGGGTGGGGTGGGTGTGCAGGTTAAAATTTTTTAAACAATGGACGGGCGGGTTAAAAATATTTTAAATTTTTATTATTTAAAATCATTTAAGTAAATATTAATAAAAAATTGTTCTTATGAACTTTTTTATATATTAAAAATTTCCTTTTATGGTAATGTAATAAAACTTATAGAGGTGTAATGCTGAAACTGAATTATTTTTTTTATTAAATGCTTAAAAAATTGGAAAAATGGCCATAATTAAATTTTATAATAGCTTGAGTTAAAATTTTTTATAAATAATGGCTAGGCGGGTAAATTTTACACCAATGGATGGGCGGTCTGGGTGGGTTAAATTTTTTTTAAAACATTGGGTGAGCGGGTTTATGGGCTAAAAACCTTCCCAATGCAGACCGCTATTATAAAACATATTAATAAACATAAAGAACAAAATAAAAAGGAAAAGTTATTAGTTTAAGGATCAAATTTTATGAAATCCATTTGTGTTTTATTTTTAAAAATATTTATTTTTTTATAATTAATTATTTGATTTTGAAACTAATATTCTATTGCTAGCAACTTATACCTTTTATTTTGATCCATATAAAGCAACGAAAATAAAGATGTAATAATTATTTTTAGCACTTTTTTTAAAATGATATCCACCTATATTAATAATTTAGGGCCTTAGTTTTATTTTAAATTACGATTAAAATCACAATTGGTGTTGAAATAATTAATTTTAACTATTAGTAGGTAATTATTATTCAGAACAATAATTTTTTTAATTGTTGTTGTAAAATAGTTGATACATTATTATAATTTCATTTTTATCACGTTATAATTTTCAAATCAACCTCTTTTAATTTTATAAAACCTAAGATATGTAGCTTAATGATGACCATGATCAATAAAAAGAAATTTAAATTTAATATAAATTTTCTATATTTTGTATGGGAAGGTTATCGATTTTTGAGTAATAATTTTTACAAAAATCAACCAAAATAATAACGATATCATGATAGAAGTTTTTTTAAAAAAAATAATCAAAAATGAGTATAATTTTTAAGATAATTATAAAAACAAAATCTCGGTTTGAAAAAAAACTAACGATTTTAATTCACTTTTCTCTGATAATTCAATAATTTTTTTAAGTTTAGACTCCTTGCTTTTGTGTTTATTTTGTAACTGGTGGATAGCTAGTTTCTTACTATTTATTTTAACATTGAGATGTGAGCAAAACAAATGAGCAAATATGGTAAAATGTAAAATTCTTAGAGTGTTAGGAGCGAAATTTCACCATTTATATTGATTTAATAATTAATGTATATTTGATTTTATTTTGATATTCACCTCTCTTCTAGAATTAATATTGTTTTATTATATATTTCATTAAAAGGGGTTGAAATTTTTCTTGAAAAAAATTATTTTCATTTTTAAAAATAAATTAATTAAGAAAACTTAAATAATTTTTAAAATAAATGCAATAAATTTACATTTATACAAAATTTAATGAAATTTTTAGTTATATAAATATATGTAAAACTACTAAAACATAATATATTTAATAATAAGATAACAATTTGAATGAGCAATAAATAATTAACATATTTTAATTTATTATGTCATAATTTAAAATATTAGATTACAATCGAAATAGTCATGATGGCAAATAAATACGACCCTTGGGATAACATTGAAATAATTCTTCGATTCTTCAATACGTATTATACAATTTTTATAATTATTCTTGGATTATTAGGAAATAGTTTAAGTATAGCTGTTATATTATCTACTAATTCAATCCTACATAAATCTGGATTTAATAAAAATTTTAAACTTCGCAAAAGAAAAGTTAGAAATACAAGCTCATGGCCCTGTTCATCGTATTATTACTACTTGGCAGCTGTTGCAATGGCTGATTCTGGTTTTCTTATATGCCTATTTATAGTGTGGTTAACCTATCTGAATATAAATCTTTATAATAGAAATGGTATTTGTCAAATTGTGGTATATTTAACGTACGTTTTTAGTTTTGTATCAGTCTGGCTTATTGTGGCATTTACAATTGAAAGATTTATTGCTATCTATTTCCCATTTCAAAGACCCTCGGTTTGCACGGTTAAAAGGGCTAAAATGAATATAATTATAATCGTGACAATAGGATTTATTCTTTATCCCTTCATATTATTTTCAGCTGGTATTATATATCCGATAAAGGAAGAAAACTTGTATAAGACTTACAATTATAGCTTAAATAATGATAAAATAATTATGGCCTATTATAAATTTACAAATGATAATCGTACAAGAGCTAATATTAATGACAATAACATCAGTTCAAACTCATGGATTATATTCAGATCCCATATAAATATATACGATAAAAGACATCACTTTTATTCAAACTCAAATTTATATTTCGAGAAAACTATTTATCACAATGAATCTCAAATCAAAACATATAAGTTTATGGAAAGTGGAAGTAAGCCATTCTTAGAATAATCTATATATTATAGCTATAAAAACTTATCTAGTTTTCATACTCTCTTGAGGCTTGTTTACAAACTAGCCAACTAAAATACGAAAGAACCTGCTAGCTTACAAACTAGCTAATTTATATACAAATTAGCTCGCTATTATATAACTTAGGTTACTATACAAATTAGCTCGTTAATATAAAAATTATCATGCTAATATACAAATTATCTAGCTGATATACTAACTAGTTAGCTAATATTATACAAACTAGCCACCTAATCTTATACAAACTAGCTAACTTATATATAAAGCTATCTATTATACAAACTATCTAGCTGATATACAAACTAGTTAGCTAATATAAAAACAAGCCAGCTAATATGCAAACTAGTTAGCCAATATACAAACTGTCTAACTAATAAACAAATTAGCTAGCTAATATAATAAACTAATTAGCTATACAAACTAGCTGGCTAATAAATAATCAGCCAACTAATTAACTAAACTATTATTTATGAATTTCAGATTTTAGAATGTTTTATTATTTTTTTGAGGATTTTCTTTCTTTTATATATTTCTCCATTTTTGAGTATTATATTTTATAAAATTTTAACCTGGTTTTTCTTTATTTTTTTCCTACCTTTTATATTCCAACCAGCGTTGTCACTAATAGTTTGGGATTTAAGGGATACTCATTTTTATATGTTATTACGTTATACACCAATATTTTCTAAAATATAACAAATTATTTATTAAGGCTGCTAACAAAACTTGTCTTAAAACTTTTATAACTTAAAGGGAACCCATTGATAGAGATTTTTTTTACACATATTGAAAAATATCTTTGCCACATTTTTGTTTTTCTTTGAAAAAAAAGTTTATCGTGTTTTTAGATAAAATTTGACAAAATCAAGATTTTAGTCAAAAATATATTACCGCCTCGAGATTCGCTTATAGATTTAAGAAATAGATTTTTGACAACACTAAAAGTAAACTAAACAAAGCCATTTCCAGCATTTTTCTTTCAAATAAGGTAAGATAAAAATTTGTTTAATTAAATGTTTTTCATAATAAAATAATTAAATTTAAAAACCCCTATCGCAGCAGTACTTTCAGGCACCCTTTAATCGTTAATAAAAATAAAAAAATTTTGTTTTTTTATTATGGATGATGTCTTATTTTCCATTTGCAAAAAAAATTGATTCGATAAAACATTATCCAACTTTGCTTAGAGGAAAAAAGATTCCTGGAAAGACCTAGGAAGCCGCTTTAAAAAAACTATTTGTTTGAAAATGATCTAAGTGCAAAGCTATTAATGAAAATACTAATAAATTGTCTTTTAATAAGTAGTCCAAAACAAGATTCGGACATAATTACCTTGCATTAAAATTTTTATAGAATGGAAAAAAGAACGCATATTCTCCAAAATTTTAATATTGCTTTTATATATTAAATTTATATTAAAAAATAATTACCATATTTTAAGTGGCAGGTAAGCTCAGAGGTTACAGACTCGACTAAGGACCAACTATTGGAGGAGATTAGGCTTAGATTAAGGAATAGTCAATAGAGCAGGGTTAATATATATATTAAAAAATGGTTTAATAAATTTTAGTTGTAATATATAGAGCAGAGACCTGCAGGACCCGGTCCTAAGCCCGGCCGGGCCGTATATTAAAACCATATATTTTAAGTTGCTATCATTAGCTATAAAAATTATAAATAAATATAACATATTTTGAAAAAATCCGGTTCAAGCCTGAAATTTTATTTTTTAAAAAAATTCGAGGTGGGACGGCATAAAACCCAATTAAAATTTCTGAAAAAAAATTCGGGCTGGGTTGAAAATGATATATAGTAAATTACTAATTATTTTTCAAATGGAGATTTGTTTTTTTATCTGTTTTTTTATATCTGCAGAATTTATGTCAAGAGGATTATTTTGTACATGACATATTAGTCCGGGATTTTTTTCCGGATAAAATTGGATAATAAATACATTAAATGTAAAAAAATTCTGTTTGTTCAAATGAAGAGGAATAAACGATATCAACCACTTGAACCGAGTGATTCAACATGGAAGATTGTTTTCCTCTCCTAGATTTAGTAAAGATAATATTATAGGTATAATAATATTTATTCTTTTAAAAGTAAGGAAAAAGAAAAATCTGATCTTAATTCTGATAGGGATGAAATCAGAGGCAACAGATATGCCGTCTGAAATATTACCAACTGATTTTTATAGATATTAACTAACATTAGAACACGAAGACAATATTTAAAATCTATATACACAAAATAATTTCAAATAAAATATGCGATATTTCATATTAACCTTCTCAATAATATCCCTATTTTCTAAACAGGATATTATCGCCAGATATGTATCTACAGCATCTCTACTGTTCTAAGACGAGAACCACATTTTGTAGTTCTCAAAACATATTCATTATTTTTTTAGCTCCAGTCCCAATATAAGTGTTTTCCTAAATTTTTGATGAATAACAGATGTTAAAAAAACTGGGGTGATGCTGTGCCACCATGTGTCTTTAATTAAATTTTTTTGCAATGTTTCATAATAGTATTAGTTAATAACTTCGCATCTAGGTTATCAATCTTTTCAAAAGATAAATAATAATTTCAACTGAACTGTTTCTTTGACATATCCATGCAAGTACAAAATTACTCGCTGATATCATAACTCACGAGAAAAATTTGCCATAACTGGATGATAACCAGAGTCATTAATTTGTGAGATTATAAAAATTCAAAATTACACTTCCATGGCTATCATTTGATTTTGTGATTTTAGTGATAAATATTGAGTATTGCCAGATGGTTGATACAAAAAGGATTTACAATTCTCTTTTTTGCTAATTTTCGCAAAAGAGGGGGGGGGGGTCAAATTGTAGAGGGGGCAAAATCATCATTGGCTTAGGAGGATGTAGTAATTCCTGATGATTTATTATTTGTCTAATATTAATTAGATCAGGATAAAACACTATGTTTTAATAAAGGGACATTATGTGACTAATAAAGTTATATATAATGGAATTATTAAAATTAACATGGCAATATTTTAAACTACTGCAAGAAAAAATGAAAACAAGTTATATTCATTTGTAAATTTTATTAAAATTGTTTACAATAATTAGCAAATAATGCAATCAGTTGTTAGCCAAATCCTATGGCAATTTAAAATATATGTGTTAGAAAAAGAACTATGTGGCTAAAGAAGCTATATATGTATATATGTTAATTTGTTTTCAAGTTTGACTCATAGAATTTGTTTAAATTTTATGCAATTAAGTTTTTTATTAAATCAAAAAGTTATAAAATCTAGGAAAGGGGGGGAGGGTGTGTTCTAAAATTTCTGCAAACCCATTTTTGATTATTTTGATTTTTTTAAACTTACTTCTCTCATTTCCGTAATTTTAAATTTTTTCTTCTTATTTGACATGTTTTACTAATTTATTAAAAATTATTTTGATTTTGCTCCGTTCCTTTTGTTTGTATAAATTTGTTGCCCATTTTTAAGTGAGTAATTAATCATTTTTAGCCTGATTTATTTTAGTTTCTTTCGTTTTCTTAACCTGTAGCCCATCTCCACGATATAATCTTTATGGTAATAAGAAAAACTAACAGGAAAAAATGACTAGGAAAGAAAATTACAGGAAAATAAGCCTTTCGAAATATAACAAGGAAATAAACCCTTGAAGAGAATATTACTGAGAAAATTAAACCCCCAAAAAACCCCAAGGAAAATAATTATCAGAAAATTGAAAAATCTGCTCACTGACTCTTAATCTAAACGAAAGCCTTTTAACTCAATTAAAAATAAGATGTGAATCCGGTAAGTATATCAAAAATTTGTATATATATGAAAAATAATTATAATGAAAAATATCTTTATATGAAAGCCATTGACACTTTTGAAAATAATATCTAATGAAAAAGATAAAAATACCACTTAGACAGTAAAGTTTTCATGTAGTTCAAATTTAGAAAAAGAGTGCATATACTATTTATTTATAGTCGAAACTGTATGGAGAAAAAAATTCAATTTTTTCCTCAATTTAATAAAATCTTCTCACATAAAATCTTGTGGTGTCCCTTACTTTCTGATCAATTTTCTCAAAATTGTTCCTTCAGCTCTCATCGTTTTCTTTTCATCAACATGTAACACCTCCACGAAATAATTTTAATGATAATTGGAAAAAATAATACATGGAAAGAAATTCCAGGAAAATAAACCTTAGGCGAAAATATCACAGGGAAAAACCCGGTTAATGATGCTTGGTACCTTAAGGTACCATCTATCAAATTTGAATTTTGTTTATTTTTCATTTGGATAGGCACTACCAAATATATTTATAATATATATTTGAAAAATAGTGATTTTTGAAAAGCCTCTATGGCCTAGTAGGCAAGAGCTTGGCTTACTTATCCTATGCTCCCGGGTTCGAATCCCAGGAATGATCATGTTTTTTTTCTTATTCTAACTTGGTGGTTCCATCCTTGGGGGGATGATATATAGAAGGCCGGACTCGACCACGTGATTCCGTATTAATATATTAAATAATAAGGGTCTTATTACATGGGTCTTATTATATTTTAAAAAATTTTGGTCGGTATTTAGCAAATTAGATTGGTATTTAAAATATTTCCATACATTCACTTGGTAGTAAGCATCATTAACCTCCATCCTTGGGGGGATAATATATAGGAGGCCGGACTCGACCACGTGATTCCGTATTAATATATTAAATAATAAGGATCTTATTACATTTTAATAAATTTTGGTCGATATTTAGCAAATTAAGTTGGTATTTAGAATATTTCCATACATTCACTTGGTAGTAAGCATCATTAACCGAAAAACCCCGGAAAAAAATATGACAAGGAAAATAAAACCTCGCAAAAAGACCCTAAGGGAAAAAGTCATTAGAAAATTGAAAAAAACCTGCTGGTCAATAATATCCATTTGATTTTTCTTAATCAAAA